GTCCGGCCAGTGGAAGTGACTCCAGTGCCCCAGCCCCTGGAGAATGGGGTTTCAGGCAGGCCACAAGGGTGGGGCTAATTAATTAATAGGTTTGGAGTATTCCTGGGTTGGAATTTAGCCACTCTACATGGCCTTAGGCCCTGGGTTCTGGGAGCCCTCATTTGTATTGGTGGGTTCTGGACAATCTCTATTGGATGGTCACCAATCCAAGGCACAACTGGGTGTGTATGCGGCTTGGAGGAGGGGTAAGGAAGGGTGGTGGGATCAAAATGGTGCTCCAGAGAGGAGAGACTAGGACCAGGCATATGGAGTCCAAGTCAGGGGTCGTCCTGGCTGACTAAGCCCTGTCCCTGACTCGGCATTGGCCCTGCAGGTCAACCCTGCAAGTGGTGCTCCATCGACGGCAGTGTCGTGCTACCACTGGTCCAAGGCTCCCCGAAGGCGCTGGCCCTGGAGTATGCCCTGTGCCTCACAGGCGATGGCTTGGCCCACCTGCAGGCCGAGGACCCCCAGCTGCTGCTGCACCTCATCCCCCATGTGCAAGTGTTTGCCCGTGTGGCCCCCAAACAGAAGGTGAGCACAGAGGTGACAGGTGGGCAAGGCCCTAAAGTGGCACACAGCCCTCACTTGGTCCTTTGCCCATGTAGGAGTTCGTTATCACCAGCCTGAAGGGGTTGGGCTACGTGACCCTCATGTGTGGGGACGGCACCAATGATGTGGGTGCCCTGAAGCACGCCGACGTAGGTGAGCTGCCGCCCCATCCTTCCCCCGTCCCCTGGCAAAGTCTGTTCCCTCCTTACTGTACAGCCAGCCAGGGCTCAGCATAAATGGCACCTCCCCGAGCATGAGGAGGCAGGGAAGGGATGGGGTCAGGGATCCAAGGCAGAAGGACACAGGAGTCTAAGGAACAGTGTGGCTGAAGCCACCAGAGCCCTGGGGAAAGTTTGAGGAGCCAGGGAAGCTCTGAGAAAACCTGGGACCCTTTAGTCCGCAGGCGGATGCTCTGTCCACTGAGCCAAACTGGCTAGGGCTTGCTTGGCTTTACTTTTTAAGTAGTTATAGAAAGTAAGATAAAATGCTCTCTGAGGGCACTCCTTGGGGAGGTCCAATGAAATGGGGAGGTTTGGCTCTGAGGCCCACGGCTCCATCTAGGCATTGAGCTGACACCTACTCTGGCTTGGAGCCAGTGGGCTCCCTCAATCCTAACACACATTCTTCCCTCCCCCGCCCCCAGGTGTGGCACTCCTGGCCAACGCCCCAGTGCGGGTTGTCGAGCGGAAGCGGCGGCCCCGCGACAGCCCTGTCCTGAGCAACAGCAGCGTCAGGGTCACATCCAGGGCATCCAAGCAGAGGTTGGGGCTCCCACCCCCAGAGGAGCAGTCCACCTCCCAGAGGGTGAGTCTTGGAAGGAGGGCGCCGGCACCCCCTTGTATCCAGGTCTCACCCACCGCCACTCACCCCACAGGACCGCCTGAGCCAGGTGCTGCGGGACCTTGAGGATGAGAGCACGCCCATCGTGAAGCTGGGGGATGCCAGCATCGCGGCGCCCTTCACCTCCAAGCTCTCATCCATTCAGTGCAGTGAGTCCTGCCCCCTGCCCTGTCCCCCTACCAGCCCTGCCTGGCATCCCTGCCCATGCCTGCGTGGCACCCATGCTCACACCTATCTCCCCCATCCATGTAGTCTGCCACGTGATCAAGCAGGGCCGGTGCACACTCGTGACCACGCTACAGATGTTCAAGATACTGGCGCTCAACGCCCTCATCCTGGCCTACAGCCAGAGTGTCCTCTACCTGGAAGGCGTCAAGTTCAGCGACTTCCAGGCCACACTACAGGGGCTGCTGCTGGCTGGCTGCTTCCTCTTCATCTCCCGCTCCAAGGTGGGCTGAGACCCCAGGCAAAGCAGTGTCTCCTGCCCCAGCCAAAGCTCCTCTGCCTCTGAAACAGCGCCCACCCTGGCGGTGCTGAGAGGCTTCGCTGATTGACGGCCAGGGACACTTGGGCCTTTAGAGGTGCTTCCGGATGTCACCTCTTTCTTCCTCACAGCAGCCCTCGGGGAGGCTGTCATCCTGTGTTATAGATGGGGAGTGGGAGGGAGGGAGGGAGGGAGGGGGCGAGCCCACTGAGCTCTTCCCAGTAGCACAGCTCGGGCCCCAGCACTGCTCATAGGCAAGAGGGCTCTGGAGGCTAGTGCCAACCCGTGTACCAGGATGTGAGGCCGCTCTCCGCACCAGGCCTGCAGGAAGTGTGGGTGGGTGGCCCAGGGCACTCTGGGCCTTGACACTCAGCCATGTATTCAACCCCCAATACTGCAGCCCCTCAAGACCCTATCCCGGGAGCGGCCCCTGCCCAACATCTTCAACCTGTACACCATCCTCACGGTCCTGCTCCAGTTCTGCGTGCACTTCCTAAGTCTTATCTACCTGTACAGCGAGGCCCAGGCCCGAAGCCCTGAGAAGTGAGTGCCGCCCTAGTAGTGGGTGCCCAGGGCATCCAAAGGAGGCAGCATCCCTGTGGGAGGAGGTGGGAGGAGGGTGCAGGTGCAGGCGTTGGCCTGGGGTAACCAGGGCCAAGCAGAGAGCCCTGGCTATGTGCAGGGGCAGTGGGAGCCCAGACGGCCCTCACCCCCATGCGTCGTGCAGGCAGGAACCGTTTGTGGACCTGTATAAGGAGTTTGAGCCAACCCTGGTCAACAGCACTGTGTACATCATGGCCATGGCCATGCAGATGGCCACCTTCGCCATCAACTACAAGGTGAGCTCCAGCCCTAGCCCAAGCGTGCCCTGCCCGCCCCCTCCCCCCCCCCAACACAAACTTCATCTCTCTGTCCCCACAGGGCCCGCCCTTCATGGAGAGCCTGCCTGAGAACAAGCCTCTGGTGTGGAGCCTGGTTGTGTCACTCGTAGCTATTGTGGGCCTGCTCCTCGGTTCCTCGCCTGACTTCAACAGCCAGTTTGGGCTTGTGGACATCCCCGTGGAGGTGAGTATCGCTGTGGATGTGGCCCCAGGACTTGGCCTGGGCCCATCGGCAGGCATCCAGCTCATCATCGCTCCGTCCCCTGCAGTTTAAGCTGGTCATCGCCCAGGTCCTGATCCTTGACTTCTTCCTGGCACTCCTGGCCGACCGCGTCCTGCAGTTCTTCCTGGGGACCCCGAAGCTGAAAGTGCCTTCCTGAGACAGCAGTGCCAGCACCCACTGCCCACCCTGCTACCACCGGGCAGGAACCCCATGTGGGCCCCAGGAGGGAACACTGCCCCTCCCCCCCCACGGCAAGGCCAGCGCACCCTTGCCCACTAAGACTGAGGTGGGGCTGCCCCCCTCAGCCTTCCCCCGACATGGCCATCCTGGGGCCTGGCTGGCAGAACCAGCCCCCAGCCAGCACCTTTGGTAAATAAAGCAGCATCCACAATTTTAAGAAGCCGTTTTCGCCTCTGTCTGTACCACACAAGGGGTCGCTGGGGGCTGGGTGTTCTCCGAGGAAAGTCCTGACACCCTCGCAGAGAGCTGTGTGAGGTTAACGACACCCTCTGCAACAGTCAGGGCTTGCACGGGCGAGCCTCCAGCTCAGAGAGCTCTGCACACTTCCTGGTTTAGTAAGCACCGCATGTGTCAGCTTCATATTTTCACATGTCAGGCACTGCGGGGAGCTTAGGGTCTATGGCTTTTTCCCCTTTTGAGTAATATGCAAAATGGCAGCCATTGTGAGGAAGTTCAATCCACACCATTAGAATTCTGGCTCAGGCTAGGGTCCCGAGGTGCTGAGGTATTTAGGTGCTGTTGCCATTTCAGTCACAGCCACTCGGGCCCAGCAGCCTGGCTCTGGCCTCACAATGACTGTCCTTCCTCTCAAAGGGCGCTCACTCTGTGCAGTCGGGAGCGTCAGATTAGGCAGCACAAGAGCTGAGAGGCAGCCAGTTGGAGATAACAGCAAAAAACTTGAAGTTATAAACATGAAGTCTTTCATTATAGCCAGAAATGCCACTGAGGGAAGAGTGGGTACATTTTTGTAACTGAGAAGCTGCTTGTGATCACCTCAGGCCAGGGGACCCAGACTCGGACTTCTGGGCCACCTCCCCGCCAGTGCTCAGTCCTTTCCTCCCTCTTGGTCATCCTCAGTAGCCCACTGTCTGGCTTCCCCAGTGAGTGCAGGGTAGCCTGCAGACGTTGGGAGTAGCCATGGATACCTGTGAGCACTGGTGGCCAAGGTGGGGGGGGGGGGGCCCAGATGGCAGCCTGCAGAGGGGTTGCTGTGGTACTGTGGGATGGAGAGGGAGGCCAGATCCCTGGGACAACTTGAGGCGACTCGGAAGCGTGGTCTGGGATTGGGTTTGCCAGGGATGATTCTTCGGGGGCTCAGAGGAGGGTCTCTGTGCCGCCCTCACCACTGCCCCACCCCACCCCAGTCCTGAAAAGACCAGGACTACGCTGTAATTGGGCTTTGAGAGCCTGATCTAGCTTTGAGGGTCACTGGGAATCTCCCAGGCCAGGAGTTTCTAGCCACAAAGTATTAGGTGACTTCTGATTGGGCTGTAATCGGGCAGGACTGCGGGCCTCCACAAGGGCATGTCTCCAGTCGCGCTGGACAGGTTCAGGGGTCAGCGGAGCCCTGAGCAGCACTGGCACTGGGTGTGTGGAAGGGTGGAAAACAGTTGGACTCGGGTCACTCCTGGGGGGGGGGGGGCTGCCGCTTTGGGACCGTGCAAAGATCTGGAAAGGAGAACCCTGGCCAGGATGGAGTCCTGGAGTCCAGGTCTGGGGTGGTCGCCCAGGAGGCACTGGCTTTAGAGCATCTGCCCTCGAGCAGGGGCTCCTTCCGCGCTGCGGAGCCCGGGGGCGTGGCCTCGGCGTGGGCGTGTTTAGGGTGATAAAGTGTGGGCGTGGTCTGCCATGGGGCGGGGAGACGCGGAAGCCGGTGGCAGCCGAAGCAGAAAATCTGGGCCAGGCCCAGCCTGCGATTCCATCACCTCAGTCCCCGTCCCCACCGAGCAGCCCCTAGGCCATGGACGCAGCGGAGCCGGGTAGGCGGTCCGGGATCCGGGATCCAGGAGGGGCATCAGCCATGCCCGCTTCCTAAACTGAGGGCCTGTGGTTGTCCCTCTGCCCGTAGAGCAGGGACAGGAGTTCCTGAATGGGGAGGACGCCCGGGAGCCTCCATTGTGGGCACCGGCCCGGCAAGCCGATAGGGGCCCGGGACACCAGCCCCTGACCCCCTCCCCCTTTGGAGTCTTCACCCCGGATGCCTGACTGAAGGGGCCCAGGAAGGGGAAGTGGCTGCTTCTGCTTTTGATATTTGTGATGGGGGCAGGGTGCAACCACCGAGGATGGAGAGGGGAAAGGGCGACGGCGCAGCGGGATCCCCACCCGCCGCTCCCTAGCCCGGGGAGGAGCAGCGCTGAGGGGGGCCGCCAGCGGAAGGGCGGGAGAAGCTGTCTCAGAAATGTAGCAAGTTTCCGCCTGTTTGGGGGCTGTCGTGTGCATGTGAGTGTCAGTCATTCAGTCTTTATGGCCCCGATGGTTCAGTCTGCCAGTGTTCCTGCCACAGCTCTCTGCCTGCCTGTCCCCTGTGGGTTTCCATCTGTCTGGCCTGAGTTCCATGTGGCTCCATTGCCAAGCTGGCTCTTGCCTCTGGGGACAGTGTGAGTGCAACTGGGGCATCTGTTCTGTCTCGTGGCCTCTGAGCCCGAGTGTTTGTGGCAGTCTCTGCTCTCTGTTGGGTTGTGCTGAGTCCATCTGCCTGGCCAAAGCCAGCCCCACCCACCCAGCCCCACCCTCCCTCCATTCCAACTCAGACACCCACCTCATCCCACACTCCCCACAGAACCAGAACTTTCTGTCTTGCTCCTCTTTCTTTCTCTCTCCCCACCCTCCAGCCAGCCAGCCGAGGTGCTGTGCACTACGGAGGCTTCGTGTACCCATATGTGACCGCCCCCCCCTTTTAGGGCTTCCCCCGGCTCCCGAGAGCAGGAAGAGGTACAGTGACATCTTTCGGAGCCTGGACAACCTTGAAATTTCACTGGGGAACTCGTGAGTCTGAGCCTGGGTTGCCCCCAAATCCTGCCAAGTTCTTCAAAACACCCAAAATTCACCCTCCCCAAATCCACTAGAAATCCCTATAGTGGTCCTAGGACCCCTACGTATCCTTCTAGTGACCCCTTACAACGTTTGAGGCCTCTGTAATCCCACTCTCTGAATCCCAAAGTTATCTGTAAGCCGTCAAACTCTGTCTCAAGCCTCATAAAAAAGCTCACCTGGCTGTCCCCCCAAACCTCCCAGATACAAGCGATGTCACTGAGATGGTGTTCAGGACCATCCGCAAGATTCCCTGGGACCCTTAGCACCCTGAGCGGGACAGCCTGGGTGGAGGGTGGTATCCTGATACCCTTACTCCCAGGACTCTTGAGATGCTGGCTGGAGACCCTATACTCACAGGAGATCCAGAGTCTGACAAGACCCCCACAGCCACTGTGGTGAGAGATGGAGCCAAGGGGTGCTGGGAGGAGGGGCCTCCCGGAGGAGGGGCTCAAAGGAGGGGGCCCCTGCCCTGCATGTTCCTGAATGCTGTCTCCTCCCCCTCAGACCAGTGAAACCAGCCATTGGAGTGGCCCCTCCCCAGAGGGTCCTGCACCCCTTACAGGTAGGGGGGTTTGAGGCCAGGAGGTGGGGCAGAAAGAAGTTCTTCCCTTAAGTCATCACCGACTGCCTGTTCTGTGCACCTGGGACACTCACAGAGCAGATGTGAGGCCCTGCCCTCGGGGAGCCCCCGTCTGGGTGGAAAATCAGTGGAAAATTACAAGTCATTGTAAAGGATATTTTGGGGAGTCATAGGGTAGAATAACGGTCACTTGTCAGGTCTAGAGGCTCCAGTGAGGTCAGGGTTACCAGGGGGTTTAAGATTCAGAGGTCAGAGGTCCACCTGTCTGCCCAGGGGAGGAACTGGACTTGCGGCTCGTTCGGACCAAGGGCGGTGTGGACGCAGCCCTGGAGTACGCCAAGACCTGGAGCCGCTACGCCAAGGAGCTGCTGGCCTGGACCGAGAAGAGAGCCAGCCTTGGTGAGGGTCCTTCCCCCGGCCCCCGGCTCCAGGCAGCTCCCACTCCCTGCCCCGCTCAGACCCCTGCCGTCTCCCCACAGAGCTAGATTTTACCAAAAGCATTATGAAGATCGCCGAGGCTGGCAAGGTGTCAATCCATCAGCAGGTAACCACGACCAGCCCCCCTCCCCCCCACCCTGCCCCAAGCCAAACCCTTCAGAAAGAACCCCAGCCCAACCCCACCCCTAGATCCTCAGCATCTCCCAATACCCCCACCCCAGAACCACATGCCACTTCAGTACATCTACACCCTGTTTCTGGAGCACGACCTCAGCCTGGGAGCCCTGGCCATGGAGACGGTGGCCCAGCAGAAAAGAGACTATTACCAGGTGAGGGGTCCACGCTGCCCACGCGCCATTCCGCTCGCTCCCCTCAGCAGAGGGCGCCAGCACCATCGGCGCTATTTTGCTGATGAGGAAGCTAAGGCCCGTGGATGCTGAGGAACTTGCCCAAGGTTACCCAGCAGAGACTCACACCAGGCTTCTTGTGCAATCGCAAACCTGCATCTGTGTGTTGGTGGGGCTCCAGGGGAGGTGCTGAGTGTTCCTGGGAAAGGTCTCTTGGCCTCTCTGGACCAAGGCAGAGAGGGTGAGGTGACCACTGAGTCTTCCTGCTGGGATACTGAGTGGGGGTGAGCAAGCCTGGGCAAGAAGACCCTCTGGGAGCCTGCAGACCCTGAGAAGGGTCCAGAGGATGAAAGGCACCAGGCCTCAGGGAACGGAAGGCCCGGTGGCCCTGAGGCAGCATCCCGTCCCCCATCCTTGCCAGCCCCTGGCCGCCAAGCGGACTGAGATCGAGAAGTGGCGGAAGGAGTTCAAGGAGCAGTGGATGAAAGAGCAGAAACGGATGGTGAGGCCCGGGCCGGTGAGGGTGAGCTCGGGAAGGGAAGGAGGGGGCCCTGACTGTGCTCCGGCCCCCCCTCTCCCCCCAAGAACGACGCGGTGCAGGCCCTGCGAAGAGCCCAGCTCCAGTACGTGCAGCGCAGTGAGGACCTGCGGGCGCGCACCCAGGCGTCCTCGGAGGACCCCGCCCCCCAGGCCTCACCGGCTCCCAGCAAACAGCAAGAGCGGCGGCGGCGCTCCCGAGAGGAGGCCCAGGCCAAGGTGGTGACCCTGCCCCCGGGGCCCCCGGGGCCCCCTGGTGCTTCGGGGCCCCCCACCCATGCCATCTCCCCCCTGTACCCCGGCCCTGCTCTCTCCAGGCGCAAGAGGCAGAGGCGCTGTACCAGGCCTGCGTCCGCGAGGCCAACGCGAGGCAGCAGGACCTAGAGGCCACCAAGCAGCGAATCGTGTCGCACATACGCAAGCTGGTGCTGCAGGGGGACGAAGTGATGAGGCGGGTGAGGCCCTCCCTCCTGCTCTCTCTCGCCCTGAACCGCCTCCAGGATACCAGGACTCACTCCATCTCCGTGGATAGCCAGGCCCTGCCTCAGACCCTGAATGGATCTCTGCCGAGGTCCCACTCCTGTGGGGTCCTGCCCCCAGGATGACCCTGACCAGCCCCCCCCCGCCCCCCTCCCGGGACACCCTCATCCCTAGGCTGCCTCCCACTGCCTAACTCCACGCCCCCTCTCATATGTGGTCTCCGTGGCCTCCCCCTGGCAGGTGACCCTGGGACTGTTCCGGCTTCGAGGGGCGCAAGCAGAGCGTGGGCCCCGCGCCTTCGCCGCCCTGGCCGAGTGCTGCGCGCCCTTCGAGCCTGGCCAGCGCTACCAGGAGTTCGTGCGGGCACTGCGGCCAGAGGCCCCGCCACCCCCGCCACCCGCCTTCTCCTTCCAGGAGTTTGTTCCCGCCCCGCACAGGTGGGCCCCCGGGGGCAGAGTCAGGAAGGAGCCCCAGGCACGGTGCCAGCTGTTGGCATCCTGGGCTGAGAACTCAGAGCCTCAGGACTTGGGTTTAGTACCCGTGGCTCTCCTCTGGGAAGCCGGGGTTGTCCCGGGCCTGGGAGGGTCAGGACTGGAAGCCTGCTGCCCTGGCCACAATGCGCATACGCCTCGGGGCTTGCAGACCTAAGTATAATACTCGGAGTTGGATCCAAGATGCGGGACCTGGGTGCCGTCACCTTGGTCAGTGTCCTCGCTCTCAGAGCCCTCAAACCTGTCCTCCCAGCTCCCCTCTGGACACCAAGAAGAAGCTCTCCGGACCCCCACCTCCGCGGTTGGACGAGAGTGCCGCCGAGCCAGGCCCTTGGGAGGACCCAGGCGTCGGCTGGCAGGGTGAGTGTAGGGAGGAGTGGGGAGGAGTGGTGCTGGGGAGGGCCGTCCTCATTGCCCTCTCCCCTCCTAGGGACTCCGGGCCCCACTCCAGGCAGCGATGTGGACAGCGTGGGCGGCGGCAGCGAGTCTCGATCCCTGGAGTCTCCCACTTCCAGCCCAGGTGGGCCCAGGACCTGGCCCTGACCCGCTCCCAGTTCTGACTCTCCTCCAGCCCTGGCCAGGCTCTGACCTTTCATCTCTAACCTGCCCTTCGATCTTTAACCTACCCACCCTCCTGCCCTATTTCTTCAGCCTCTGACCCATCTGACTCCCCATCTGCACACCTTCAACCCTTTCCCCAGGGACATCTGTGGGTGGTTCTGGAAACTAGGAAAGCCCGCTTAGCTTTGGAACCTCTCCATGACCCCTCTGACCCCAACCTCTGGGACCCTCTGACTCCAGGCCCTGGTCCAAGGCAGCTCGTGAAGGTCTCCTCCACAGGCACCGAGTCTTCAGATGACTTCGAGGAGCGAGACCCAGGTAAGGCGGGAAGCAGGTGGGCAGGACGGGGGCAGGGTTGGACCAGGCCCCCTAACCCTGCTGTTTTCCCACAGACCTGGGAGACGGGCTGGAGAACGGGACCGGCAGCCCCTTCAGGAAGTGGACGCTCTCCAGCGCAGCCCAGACGCACCGGCTGCGGCGGCTGAGGGGCCCGGCCAAGTGCCGCGAGTGCGAGGCCTTCATGGTCAGCGGGACCGAATGTGAGGAGGTGTGGCCCGGGCCGGTGGCCGGCTCTCTGCGACCCACTGACCTCCCTGCGCCCCAGGCTCCTCCATGGCCTAATAGTCCCGTGCCCCTCCTGCCCCTGGGACCAGCCCTGACCTAACGATCGCCCAGGAGCATCCCGTCCCCTAAGGACCCTTACAGCCTTCACTTTCGCTGACCCCTGTGACCTCCCTGATCTTTTTTTTTTTTTTTTAGGCAACTGTTCTTTATTTATGCAAAGCATGTTCTAAATTAATTTTTATTTGCCACCAATGAATTTGCTCCCCCTCCCCAACCCCCAGTGCTTTCTGACCTGCCACAAGCGCTGCCTTGAGACTCTGCTGATCCTCTGTGGACACAGGCGGCTCCCAGCCCGGACCTCCCTCTTCGGGGTCGACTTCCTGCGGCTGCCCAGGGACTTCCCGGAGGAGGTGCCCTTTGTGGTCACCAGGTGCACGGCCGAGATAGAACAGCGCGCTCTGGGTGTGCAGGTGCTGCCTTGACCCTTGACCTTGGACCATCCCCAGCCATGGCCTGGCCCTCTCCATGGCTGGATTACTACGCAGGAGTTTCTTTTCCACCCTACCCCTACAGGGCATCTATCGGGTCAGCGGGTCCCGGGTCCGAGTAGAACGGCTGTGTCAGGCTTTCGAGAACGGCCGAGCGTTGGTGGACCTGTCTGGGAACTCACCTCATGACGTCACAAGTGTGCTCAAGCGGTTCCTCCAGGAGGTGGGTGCTCAGGGGCCAGGGCACGGCCAGCTGGGCAGGCTGAGGCCAAGGGCCCTCTGCAGCCTACCCACACCCCTGTCCCCCCTGCCATTCCACCCCCAGCTCACTGACCCCGTGATCCCCTTCCACCTCTACGATGCCTTCATCTCTCTGGCTAAAACCCTGCATGCAAACCCCGGGCACGACTCTGAGACCCCAAGTCCCAGTGCTGAGGCTGTTCGCTTTCTGGAGACCCTCTTGGTGCAGCTGCCTGACTCTAACTACAACACCCTGCGACATCTGGTGGCTCATCTGTTCAGGTGTGCACTCCCCCTGACCTTGAAACGGATGTGACTACTGGACTTGTGACTGCTGACCCCTGACACTGACCTCTGACCTTTGCATGTGTTTTCTGAGCTCTGCACCTCAATACAGGACTTCTGACTTTTGGTGCCTACTCCCGCTCCCCATGGCCGGGCATAGAGCTGCTGGGCTCAAACTATGCCCAGGGCCACTGGCCCGTGACTTGGGCAAGTAAAACCGCCGGTCTGGCGTTCAGGTCCTACCCGGTAAGTGACCACTGGGCGCTCTGTGCCTTTCCCTTCTCCTCGCCCCAGGGTGGCTGCACAGTTTGAGGAAAACAAGATGTCTGCCAACAACCTGGGCATCGTGTTTGGACCCACGCTGCTGCGGCCACCGGACAATGCTGGGGCAGCGGCCGCCGGCTCCGTGAACTGCCTCCTGGACTTCGGGCACCAGGCCCAGCTCGTGGAGTTCCTCATAGTGCATTACGAGCAGATCTTTGGGATGGACGAGCTCCCCCTGGCCGCTGAGCTCCCACCTCAAGACCCCAGCCCAGCCCCTGGGCTCCTCACAGCCAGCCCCCAGCTGGCACCCCCATCCCTTGCCCCAGATCCCCTGCCCCCAACCTTGCCCCCAGATTCAGAGCCAGACCCTGAGCCCCACGGTGCCCTGGAGGAGCATCCCGAGGCCATGCTCTCCGAGGTAGGAACCAGCTGGGCCCACAGACAAGGGGAGGGTCCTTTCTCCACTGAATCTTCTCATTCACTCTCTCTCCTTCCTTCCTTTCCCTTTAAAGTTTTCTTTTTCACTCCTTCCTATGTACCCTGTGCTCATTCTTAGAAGGAAAAGAGAGGGATGGAATTGGGGAGGGGAGTGTTAATAATGGAGTGACTACAGGACACAGCCCTGCAGAGTGATCATTCACACCTGCAACAGCCTATTTATTTAACACCTATTATGTGCCAAGCATTGCTTTAGGCATTACACATACATCAGTGAGCAGAATACTCAAAGACCCTATTCTCTTGGTGCCTGCATTCTCATGGGAAAGAAACCAGCAACAAACAAGAAATATGACACAGAATTAGATATATAGATGTTACATGGTGACAAGTACTATAGAGAAAAGAAAGTGGCATAAGGTAAGGGATATCAGGGACTCTGAGGTGAGAGGTGATGGACAGCTTGTAGCAATAAGTAGGATGGTGTGGGCAGGTCTCCTGGAGAAGGTGAAGACCTGGCTTATTTCTCCTTCACATCCTCCCAGTCTTGGTTCAATTCCACCTTCTCCAGAAGCTCTGCACATTTACAGGCTTCCTGTCGTTCTCGCCACAGCCCTGAGTGGTAGATACTGTTTGTTAGTTATACAGTGAAAACCATTTACCGATGAGACTCCTAGGGAGGTTTCCTGGTCCCTCCGGTTCTGCCACACCTGCCATTCCTGAGTGTGCAGACCTCCTCCACTGCAGTCCCAAGCTGGGAACGGGTTGCTAGTGAGCTGTGGGACTCTGAGAACCGGGATGACTCATAGAAAGAACTTCGGCTGCCATTAGCATTCAGCTAAAGGGAGAATAGTGAGACTATACAGCTAACCGGGCGTAGGTTGCAGAGAATAGAGCAGGAAGGACCGTCACTCATCCTAGTGTGGAGATGGTAAGTCACAGCCTGGCCTGGCTTCTGCTGAACAAGGGCGTCCCAGCCCTCAGAGCCCACGGTGGAGGCCAATGACACTGCTCCGCACAGCAGGACAGCAGGACGCTGTTAAGGGCACCACATCTTCCCAGACACCAAAACTGCAACGGAACTTGCATGTCCAGGAGCACACTCTCGGTTCTCCAAGAGTCTCAAAGAACCGGGGTTTGATGGTTGGGGTCTTGGTCTTGGGTTTCTCCCTACAGATTCCAACTCCACAGAGTGACCAGAGAGAGGAAGTGGCCCAAGACACCAAAGATGAGCGAGGGGAAGGTGAGTGTGCTGGGAGCAAACCAGGAGTTCTGGGGGTCCCCTGCCCATGGTAGCTTGGCAGAGAGAGGACTCCCGGGAGGGACGTCCAGAGGACTCAGTGATGCTCAGCAGTGACCACCCCATTCCACAGTGTCCAGCCAAGGCCCCGAGGACTCCCTCCTGGGGACACAGTCCCGTGGCTACTTCAGCCGCCAGCCAGTGAAGTATCCCCGGGGGGGCGTGCGGCCCGTCACCCACCAGCTGTCCAGCTTGGCCCTGGTGGCTTTCAAGTTGTGCGAGGACACTCCTGTCACATCAGGGCCTCAAGGGAGCTTGCGGGGGAGGGGCCCGGACCCCGCTGCTGCCTCCCCTGAGGGCCACCCCCTGCGCCGCACCCCGCTCCCCAAGCATTTTGAGATCACCCAGGAGACAGCGCGGCTGCTCTCCAAGCTGCCCAGAGACGAGGTGCCCAAGGCCACCTGCTGCCCGGACCTTCCGCCTGAGGATGAGGAGGACGTAGAGGAGCATCTCTGACCAGCCAGCACTCTGGCCAAGAGGCCCAGGACTGAGGACACAGACTCACGTCTCCCCAGGAGTTCAGTGTTGGGGCATCTGGGGAGTTCCTGTAAGGAAAAACGACATGGCCTATGGGAGACAAAAACCTCTTGGAGGACAGTGTACCAGGATCCCCCCACTAGACACGGGATACTGCCAGCTGTCAGGGCCACTCAGGTTCAGAGGTCACTCAGGGTCAATACTCAGGTTCAATACAGGTCACAGGATCCTTGGGGTCCATACAGACTCTGACCCCTTGGACAGGGGTACCTTTGGCTACTTTGGTCGTGGCCACTTCCCCACCTCAGCCCTACTCCTTGGCTGACCCCAAGCGGCATTGCTTTTGGAGTGGGGGGGGGGGGGGGGAGTGACAGCCAGGTACATCCCGGTAGGTGATGCCTGGGGTCTGAATAAACTGTGTCCTTGTGCCCTCCAGTGTCTTTCTTTGCCAGGTGAGGGCAGCAGCCTTTGGCCCACTTTACCCATCAGGGAAACCAAGGCCTCCTTCCTTCGCGCACCCATAGGCAGTCCGGCTGGACCGGGCACCGCGCTGAGTCATGAGCTCCCGGAGCCGTCCTGCATAATCAAATATAACCAAGTGGCGATAACCCGGACAATGGGGCTGTGTGCTCGGGCCGGGCTGCGGGAGCCCGGGGCCCAGCAGGCCTGGGCCGGGCAGGGGGCAGCGCCGCGGGGCGGGGAGGCGCGGGGGCGGGATTCCCAGAAACTTGAGCGCGGCGGGGCCGCCGACCGAGTAGGTCGGCAAAGTGTGTGGGGCGGGGGGACGCCGCGCATCTCCCGCGGCGGGGCTGGGGCGGGGGTCCGGATGGAGGGGCGGGGGCCCGGGCGGCGGGGCGGGGGTCGGCGGTGGGCCGGTCGGATCAGGGCGGGGCCTGGAGCTCGCCGGCGGATTGGACGGAGGGCGCGGGGCTGGCCGGGGCCGGGGTGCGGGCCCCGGGACCACCCGGAGCTGAGCGCGGGCGGCGCGAGGTCACGGCGGGAAGCCTCCGGCCGGGAGGACTCAGCCCCCCCGAGCCCGGGGCCGCGGCGCCAGGTGTGCGGGCGGGCGGGCGGGGGTCCGCGCCGGAAGTGAGAGGGGCCCGGGCGGGAGGAAACGGGGACCGCGGTTCCGGCGACCCCGTGCTGCCGGGCCGCGGAGGCGGGAGCCCCCAGGTGGCGGGGCGGGGCGGGGCGGGGCGCCCCCGGGGGCGGGGCGGGGCGCGGGCCGGGCCGGGACCGGCTGGGACAGGACCGGGAGGGCGGGACCCGCCGCCCGCGCTCCTGCCGCCCGCGCCGAGCGCACTCCCGCTGCGCCCCCGGCTCGGTCGCTGGGCCATGGGCGCCCGGTCCGGGCCTGCCCCCCGCGAGGCCGCCCGGTGCGCGGCGTGAAGGACCGCCGAGGTGAGCCGGGCGGACGGACGGGGCTGGGGGCCCGGGAGGGAGTGGCGCTGCCCGCGGCCCCGGTGCCATCCCTTCTCCCCTCTCCCTCCTCCGGAGCCGGGCGCCCGGAAAGCCCCGCCGGCTGCGCGCCTCTTCGCGGAGGCCACCCGCGTGCCCCCGGGACTCTCTGTGTCCTCCCTGGTGCCCGCCCGCTCGGCAGCGCGCCCGTCCAGAGCCCGTCGCCCAGCGCCCGCCTGTCCTCTGGGCCTCCCGCCGCCTCCAGGCCCAGCCCACCGCCCGCAGGGCCCGGCAGAGGCCCACCCCGCGCACATGCCCCCGGGGTTTGCTCTCCGAAGTGACCCCGACCCTGAACTTACCTCCCTCCCCTAACCCCCTCCACACTCACACCCCTTTGCCCGGCCCCGACCCAGCCCTACCCACCAGAACCGACTGGACCCAGATTGGTGGATCTTTGTTTTGTTCCTTTAGATTACAAAACAAAACCAACTCCGAGGGAAAAACACACAAATAAATCCAGCCAGTTGTTTGATTTGGGAGGTAACTTTTGTTAAGAGTCTTTTTCTTTCTTTTTTTGTTTGTTTTTCTGTTAACTCTCGCCCGAGGCTATTTCAAGAGATTATACGGGAGGGAGAGAGATACACAGAGAGAAACAGGGATGTGAGAGAGACACATCAGTTGGTTGCCTCTGGCTCACACTCTGACCCTGAACGAACCTGCTCCTTTGACCAGAATCAAACCCGGGACCCTTCAGGCCACAGGCCCACGCTCTATCCCGGGAGCTAAACCAGATAAGGCTGTCAGAGTCTTATCTGTAAACAGGCAACCGCTGTCCCACCAGCACCCCACAAAAAACCCACAGCCCACGGAGCTTGCTTTTTTCCTAGGTCGCTCTGGTTCCCAAAACACCACTTGGCCCGGAGGCCTTTGGGCGTGAGAGCTCCGGCCTTGTACCCGCTCCTCCCCTGTGTGCGCGGCTCCTCTCTGTGTCCTCCCCACGCGAGCCGCCCGCAGTGACCGCCTCCTCTGCCCCCAGACAGACGGCCACCATGGGCCAGTGCTACTACAACGAGACCATCGGCTTCTTCTACAACAACAGCGGCAAGGAGCTGAGCTCCCACTGGCGGCCCAAGGATGTGGTGGTGGTGGCCCTGGGCCTGACGGTCAGCGTGCTGGTGCTGCTGACCAACCTGCTGATCATCGCGGCCATCGCCTCCAACCGGCGCTTCCACCAGCCCATCTACTACCTGCTCGGCAACCTGGCCGCGGCCGACCTCTTCGCCGGCGTGGCCTACCTCTTCCTCATGTTCCACACGGGCCCGCGCACGGCCCGGCTCTCGCTCCGGGGCTGGTTCGTGCGGCAGGGCCTGCTGGACACGAGCCTCACGGCGTCGGTGGCCACGCTGCTGGCCATCGCCGTGGAGCGGCACCGCAGCGTGATGGCCGTGCAGCTGCACAGCCGCCTGCCGCGCGGCCGCGTGGTCCTGCTCATTGTGGGCGTGTGGGCGGCCGCGCTGGGCCTGGGGCTGCTGCCCGCCCACTCCTGGCACTGCCTCTGCGCCCTGGACAGCTGCTCGCGCATGGCCCCGCTGCTCAGCCGCTCCTACCTGGCCGTCTGGGCCCTGTCCAGCCTGCTCGTCTTCCTGCTCATGGTGGCCGTCTACACCCGCATCTTCTTCTACGTGCGCCGGCGGGTGCAGCGCATGGCCGAGCACGTCAGCTGCCACCCCCGGTACCGGGAGACCACGCTCAGCCTGGTCAAGACTGTGGTCATCATCCTGGGTGAGTGGGACCCCGCTTCCCCCCATCTCCTCCGAGGCCTGGTGGAGGGGTGTGATGGGAGGAGAGGACTTGGGTGGGGAAGGTTTTCCAAGGAGGGGATGCTGGGCGGAGGAGATCTAACTGCTGGAGAAGGGAACAGGCAGGAGAAACAGAGCACCAGGCAGCCATTCCAGAGAGGAGAGCAGGCCCGCACAGCCTCAGAGGGCAGAGGGCAGAGTCAGACCTTGTTCTGAATTCTTTAAGCTTCTAGCAGGGAGTAATGTGGTCACTGGCTGTTGCCATATAGGATGGCCTGGGAGGAGGGGGGGGCAGCAAGAGGCCTTCCCATGAGGACATTACCCCCCCCCCTACACACACACACACAAGAATAAGGAGTGACTCTTCCAGTGACCTCCTACCCCCACGGAGTAACTGGCCTGCCCCACAGTGACCTCTTCTCCCCACAGAACAGATCTCCATGTAGAAATGTCCAGAGCTCTGACCACCAGTTAAGAAAGGTGCCCCTTCTGGCAGGCAAGTCAGATAGAGAGACCCCTCTTAGCAATTCCGCCCCATCGCTCTGCCACGCCGGCCAGACAGGCCTCCCTCGCCTTGCACGCCACAGCCGTTGCCCGAGCTCTGGACGCCCCTCCGGCCCGGAGCCGGGAGCCGTGGGTCACCCTGGGCTCCCTCCGCAGGGGCCTTCGTGGTCTGCTGGACGCCGGGCCAGGTGGTGCTGCTCCTCGACGGTCTGGACTGCAAGTCCTGCAACGTCCTCGCGGTGGAGAAGTACTTCCTCCTGCTGGCCGAGGCCAACTCCCTGGTCAACGCCGTGGTGTACTCCTGCCGCGACGCCGAGATGCGCCGCACCTTCCGCCGCCTCCTCTGCTGCCTGTGCCTCCGCCGGGCCGCCCGGGAGTCCGCCCACTACACGTCCTCCACCCGGGCGGGCGCCAGCACGCGCATCATGCTCCCCGAGAACGGCCACCCCCTGATGGACTCCACCCTGTAGCCAGCCGTGGGCGTCCGTGGGATGCAGCAAGTGCCCGACTGCACCCTGACCGCTCGTGGAGGTGCCCGGGTCAGCCCCGTTCGGAGGACAGAATCAAGGCGGACCCTCGGTCTGGATGCCGGACCTCGGCAGACACACACAGCTCCGCCCGCTCCGGGGCCCGGGGGTTGTATGTGGTCACCTCCAGGGGCCCAGGACAGGTCGGGTACCGGAACGGGCTCTTCAGTCATCTCAGGGTGTGGGGTTTTTAATAGACATTTTCCTGTTTTACTGCACATCCCTGGCAAACCCTGTGGATCGCTTCCGTGTCCGTGGTGGTGTGTGTTAAAAGGACTCTCAGGCCATGACGCCCCCAAAGTCGCAAGGACTGGATCATGGATGTACCGTCTGCCTGAGGCACAGAGCGTGTGGCCCCGTGAGGCCTCCGGGCTTGCCCATCTCCGTTAGACTTGAGGGTGTCCCCAAGGAGGGCATGTTAAGGAGTAAACTTTTATTTTTCCTCCGAGGTCTCCAGCGCACTCTGTGTCATCGGCTCAGTCTGTCACTGTGTCCCAGAATTGTCTGTCTGCTCCACGTGTTCCCTTGCCTCCCTCGTGCCCACTGCCTGTCTTCATCCTCTGGAGCTCAGTAGTTCATGGGCCACATGAGTCCTCTCTCCTGCCTGCCCTTTCGTCCCAGTCCAGGTTCACAGTCACCAGTGTCCACTGCGCCCTACACACCCACAGGCCAGGGCAGTGGGATCCATGGAGCAGGCTGCAGGATTTGTGTGTTGCCGTTTCTCAAGCTCCCCTGACGCCTGGCACACGGAGAAGCACTGGGGTCTTACACCGATTTTCATGGGAGGACCGTGCTTTGAGAGGTTGAGATCGGCCTGTGGTCCCACGGCTTTGAAAGGACACCGAGATGCATGCAGGGATGAGAAAGGCCCCTGGAGAAGGAGCTTCTGATTATCCCACAAAGTGTGGAATTGGTCACAAGCTCAGCCTGGCTTTTCCCACCTCACCCCACAGCCCCCAGAGGCTTCAGACATAACAGACTCCTGATGATGAGCCCCATCTCAGATGTTCATAGGGTAGCCCAGGATCTGAGTGTAGACCTAAGGAGGAGACAGGGTTATGTCCCTACCTCAGGTTCGCACAGAATAACAGCTGATTTGGAAAGCAGATCTCCCATCATGTCCGCATTGCCAAAGAACCAAAACATCCAGGTCCTTCTCCATTAAGTGGGGCTGGACTTCCCTTTGGGGAAACTCGCAGCCCTAAGGTAGCTTTGTGAGGAGGCAAGAATGAACTGGGGTGCTGGGTGCTTCTCCAGGGTCCAAAGCAGGCAGCATAGGGCCTGGGGCCTGCAACTCTGAGGTGATGGCCCAGGCTGGCAGCTCCCACCAGGTGCCTGGGCACATGCCCAGGAAAGACGCCGTCTCTGCCTCCGCGGAGCTCTGGGCTTGGGGAGACGTGTCGTTTTGGGGGCCGAGGCAGCCAACCAATTCCTGGGACCTCCAAAGACAGCTCTCTGCTGTGCTTCATCGGCTGGGCATCCTCCAGGTTCTCACAATCCTTGAGTCTCCTTTGGGATTTGGTCCCACCAGTTTTTCCCTCTGTAGTTGTCTATTCTCTACGGGATGACTTCCAAGTTTTTGTCTCCCCTGGTCTTTGAAGCTTTCAAACACCCATCCCCTCACCCCATTCTCTGAGGGACACCAAAGTGGCCCACTTTTTTTTTTTTTTTTTTTAATATATTTTATTGATTTTTTTTTTTTACAGAGAAGAAGAGAGAGGGAGGGTTAGAAACATTGATGAGAGAAAAACATCCATCAGCCACCTCCTGCACACCCCCTACCGGGGATGTGCCTGCAACCAAGACACATGCCCTTGACCAGAACTGAACCTGGGACCCTTGAATCCGCAGGCTGACGCTCTATCCACTGAGCCAAACCAGTGAAGGCAGTGGCCCACTGTTTGCAGGCGCCTGTGCAAGAGCTGTGCTGGCAGCTGACCTTCCTGTGCTGCTTTCGATGGCGCCCACGGCCTGGTACTTCCCCGTTATTGGGGCCAAGTGTCAGGTCTCATCAGGAAGCTTTGAGGTTGTTCTGACCCTGGCCCACATCCCTCATTTCCGTTCCCTGCCAGCTCTGTCTGGGGTTCCAATCACGCCAGGGGGGTACTGCACTTCCTCTCCAGCAGCATGGGAGCCCTGCCCGAGGGGCAGCCAGGCTGAGCCTGCGCTGGGGTCTGCTCCAGGCAGCCCGTGCCGCTGGATACGTAACTCTTGTCCCGTCCGTTCCTTTCCTCTCGCACAAGGAGCGGCTGTCTCGGGGTGCACCACGGGGCAGTAGGTCTTCTGGAACTGTCCATCCCTCAGCCATGTGGTAGCGTTTTCTAGACCTGGAATGCTGCCGAGCGAGAGGAGTAAACAGGAGAGTGGTCACGCTCCAGCCAGGCCTTGAAAGCTGAACAGAACTGACTCCTGCAGCTGAGAAAACCCTGGGTCCTAACCTCCCGGCCCCCTCCCCGCACCCCCTCCGGGGAAGGCTGATGGCGCTTTGAGGGCCAAGGGGAATCCTGAGGAGGAAGGGGTGCTGGGGGGACAGTGAGTGGTTGCTCTGAGATGTGTGACCCGAGGAACAAGAGGCTCAGAGAGGAAGGCCTCTGAGGAGGAGCAAGGTCTGAAGAGGACGTGCATGTGGGGTAAGGGGCACCGGAGCGGGGCGGAGCCCGCACTGCCCCCTGGAGGAGGCTGGGGGAAGCGCCTCTGCACCCCCTGCGCCCTCCCGGCGGCGAGGAGCGGGCTGCTGGCATGCCCGCCGGCGGCGGGGTGCCTGCGGGCGGCGGGGTGTCCGCGGGCGGCGGGGGATGGACCTCACGTGCAGCAGCTCCTGGCTCCCGGCCACGCGGCTGCTCCAGGCTCGCGGCTCCTCCCCGCGCCCCGGGCCCGCCGCCAGGGAGACTCCTGCGGCGGATCGTGGCCTCCCCGACCGACCAGCCCGGAGGAGGCGCAGGCCAGGTGCTGGGGCCGAGCCACCCCGAGTCCGGGCCAGGAAGGGCGGGCCCAGCGGCCGGGGGGCTGGGGGTGAAACAGGGGGAGGGCCGGAGTCCAAGCAGGGAGAGCAGGGGTGGGGCTTCAGGAGGATGTAAAGGGGGTTTATGGGGCTAAAATGTATCGGATTGAAAAGTTTATGGGGCTGAGACCGGTTTGGCTCAATGGATAGAGCGTCGGCTTGGGGACTGAAGGGTCCCGGGTTCGATTCCGGTCAAGGGCATGTACCTTGGTTGCAGGCATATCCCCAGTAGGGGGTGTGCAAGAGGCAGCTGATCGATGACTCTCTCTCATCGATGTTTCTAACTCTCCATCTCTCTCCCTTCCTCTCTGTACAAAATCAATAAAATATATTTTTTAAAAAAAAGTTTATGGGGCTAAGAGTCTGTGTGTGTGTGTGTGTGTATGTGTGTGTGTGTGTGTTGGGGGGGGGGAGGTAGGAGATCTTCCAGGGGCGAGAGGGATGGCGAGAGGGATGGCTATAAGAAGGGGAGCTCATGGCCCAACCTGGTTTGGCTCAGTGGATAGAGCTTGGGCCTGCAGCCTCAAGGGTCCCAGGTTCAATTCCGGTCAAGGGCGTGTACAGTAGGGGTGTATAGGAGGCAGCTGATGGATGTTTCTAACTCTATCCCTCTCTCTTCCTCTCTGTCAAAAATCAATAAAATGTTTTTTTAAAAAGGGGGCAGCTCCTGGATGGGGAGGCTCACGGTGAAAGGGGGTTTATGGAATTGTGAAGGGGTAAGAGGAATGTCGGGTGTAAATAGATGGGTTGGTGGGATTCATGAAGTGGGGAGTTTGGAGTGTAAGTAACGGAGAGCTGTGGAGAATGGAGCTTGGGAATGAAGAGATGAGCCGGTAAGCCGGTGCAGTCACCTGTTCAGTTCCCAGCTGGAGCACATGCCCAGGGTGTGGGGCACAGTCCCAGGTTGTGGGAGCGTGCAAGAGGCAGCCAATCATCAGTGTTTCTATCTTTCTCCCTTCCTCTTTCTCTAAAATCAGTAAAAAATAAAAAATAAAAAATAAATAAAAAAATTTTTTTAAACAGTACAGCTATAAGTGGTTTGGCTCAGTGGATAGAGAGTCAGCCTGTGGACTGAAGGGTCCCAGGTGTGATTCCGGTCAAGGGCACATGGGGAGAGGAGGGGTGAGGGGCAGGGTGCAGAAGGCAGCTGATTAATGTTTCTCTCTCATCGATGTTTCTAACTCTCTATGTCTCTCCTTTCCTCTCTGCAAAAAAATCAATAAAATATCATTTTAAAAAACCAGTATACATTGTGAGAAAGCTATGAGCAAAGGGCTGGCATGCTGGGGGAAGCCAGGTGGGGCGGGCACAGCACCTTCAGAGGCTCTGAGTGGGGGAACCACGGACAGAAAGCAGAGGAAGGGACGGAAGCCCCCAGTGGAGTTTGGAGGGAGGCTGGAACTGGATCATACTAGGCCCAAGGTTGGCAAACTGCGGCTCTTTGGCCCCTTGAGGGTGGCTCTTCCACAAAATACCATGGCCTGGGAGAGTCTATTTTGAAGAAGTGGCGTTAGAAAAAGTTTAAGTTTAAAAAATTGGGCTCTCCAAAGAAATTTCAGTCGTTGTACTGTGGATCTGTGGCTCCGTTGACTAATGAGTTTGCCGACCACTACAAGTCTCAAAGAGTTTGGGTTCTGTTTCAGCTGCAAGGGGGAAATCCCAGCAAGTGTAAGACCACCGTCCCACTTACCCCACTGCCAGCCAGCCGGGATTGGTGAAGCCTCCTCCACACGTAGCCGCTGTGTTTGGGTTCTGCCCAGATTGTTAGGAATGGGAAAGGCCTGGAGTCCTTTCGGAGAATGAGATCTTAAAGGAGAGCCTGTCTGGGGGGAAGGATGGGCCCGGGGGTGGAGCCAAGGTCTGGTGGCGTGGACGGGCCACGGCCAGTCCCTAAAGCCTTCTATGGGAGAGGGTTTGCAAAGCCCGCCGAACAGTAGCCCTG